GTGATGCTTTTGGTGGGGGCGTTATTTGGCAATCCTTGTTTGCTATTGTGTTCTTGCCTTTCTCGATTAGGAAGTCTCGAAGGTGGCCCCTTTTTAGTAACTCCATGACTTCCAGACGGAGGGCTATGCATTCGAAAGTGACATGTTCGTAATCTCTGTGGAACTCACACCACTTGGTTGTGTCACACTTAGTCCCAGTACACTTTTGCTTTGCTGGCCATCTGACTACCTTCCCCATTTCTTTCATCACTGCGACTACCTTTGTCAGCTCGATGTTCATGTTGTAATGGAGCATCTTGTATCTTTGGGGTTAGTCAAGTGTCCTCTTGCTATGCTAAGCCATGTGACGATCATTGGTGAGTCTGTTGCCCCCACATAGGCCCTCTTTTTACTTGATACGACTCAAATTGAGGCCATTATTTGCGTCCCTCTGCTCGGCAATGGTGATGGTTAGTGGTGGAGTTCAACTTTGCTCTGTGGACTTCGTCTTCTTCCTACCTTATTTCTACTGAAGCGTGAGCTAGCACGTCTTCCATTGTATTGCAATTGAATTTGGTGAGTTCCTTGTATAGTTCACCGTCTGGGAGGAGTTTTTTCCTAAAGGTGTCTATCGTAGTCTCTTGGTTGTAGTAGGGGATTGAGACTTTCTCATGGTTGAAGCACCCTACATATTCTTGTAACGGCTCATTGTGATATTGACAGATATTATAAAGGTCGCCAGACAGTTTTTCAAGCTTTTTGCTATTGGCAAATTGCTCCACGAAGGTGTCCGTGAACTGGGTGAATGACATGATAAAGTTGTTAGAGAGATTTGTGTACCATTAAAGTGTCGGTCCTATGAGGCTGGAACCAAAATTCTTGCACATGCATGTTTTGCGGAGATCTCGAGGTATAGCGGCAGCGAACATTCTTTGTTTGTAGGAGACTATGTGGTCATTTGGGTCGGTGGCTCCATTGTAAAGTTTCATGTCAGGGAAGGTGAATTTGTGCGGCATCTCTACGATTGCTATTGCATCCATGAAGGGTGAATCAGCATAACTTTGTGGTTGACTCTTCTTGAGTGGTGCAGGTACGCTTGGGATACGTTGGATCATGGCTTCTATCTTGGCTAGTCGCTTAGCCAAAGTTTGTTCCAAAAGAGTTGGCATATGGTTACATAATTTGTTCAGGAGTTGGGGGAATACGTTGGGATCTATGTGTATAGTGGAGCAGAGTCAGGCTGCTTGGTTGATATTGTTGGTGTTTGGATGGATTGGATATGTTTGTGAGAGGTTGAGACGGGTGTCTAGCTGTTGAAGTAGGGTAGTTTGGGGGAACGCTTCAATGGCTGAATGGTTGACGGGTGGGGTATTGTCATCTTGGGTTGGCTCAGCCAAAGGCATTATGGTTAAGGCCGAGCAAATGGTGGGACTCGTGAGGGTGCCATGATTTGGTGTGGAAAATAGCTGTCTTGGGTGAATGGGTAGCCGAGAAAAAGATGCATTATACTGATTCATAGACCAATTTAAAGAGTAAAATTGTGTTACCTTATCTTGAAAAACTTGGTTCTCGACGCGGATGGTGGTGTTTTGTGCTTTTTAGGCTTGGTATTTGTCACTCTCCTATACCAATACGGTGAAGGCCGCGATCTGAGCTGTGCCTCAAGTATTAGGGTTTTGATGTTGTTGGTCATGATGACTAGACGAAAGTTATGGAATGGATTGGGTAGGTCGTTCTGTGTCGTATGACTGTCAAGGCCCCATAGTGGGCACCAAACTGTAGATGGTAAAATCTACAGTTACAAATATAGGGTCGAATCCAATTATGTGGGCCACTTGCAGCCTAATGGACCTGTGAGGAATATAGCGAAGGTCGTGGAGACTTGGGACGGAATGATGCTATGGTTTTCGAGCGGAATGCTAGAGCTTTGACAAATCCTTCATGAGAGGGTTTGCCTCTGTTTATATAGTGAACCTTGAGGGTTCCCATCCCAAAAGGATCCTGAATCCTGTTTTTGGAGGACTTTTCTTCTAGGAAGAGATATGATTCCTCACCTTCCTCACCTTTATTAGATTAGGCTTACCAATTTTAGCGAGAATCTAGGTCTTACCAAAAGAGGAAGCAGAATTTGATTCTAATTCTCTGTTTATCAGATTGCTGTGGGCTGATGGGTTGGAACCCAGTCAAGCTTAATTTGCAGGGTAGCTCAACTCGTGGAGAGGACAATTCACAAAGTAGATTTAAGCGTGGGCCCAACCAAAATTAGGCTAAGGCCTTAGGTCATAAAATGTTTATTTTATTATTGGGTCTCGTCAGGTCTAATACAATTTTTGGCCCATACAAAACCAAGCATCTCTAATCAATTTCTATCTCCGTTTTTCATCTGAAATTTTCATTAAATCCTAAAGCTGGCCTGGATGCATCAAATAACACAGATTTGCTCCATTCCATGCTCTATTATCATTTTATGATCACTAACTTTATGTTATCAAACAGCTTCATAATGTAAGAGAACAAAAAATTAGGGATTACTAATATAATCCATTCATTCATATTAGTCTCTATTTACATCCAACTGTGTGTGAGCATTATGACAAATCAATAAGTTTCAAGTTAATGATTCTTTTATTGGCTTGTGTACATTCATTATATGGAATAGATAAAAGAGCACATGTTGACATGACCTATCTCGACCCTCCCTATCCCATAAGCTTCGGGCGCACCCATGAGACTCGAGCGACTGAGAAGTGTCATGTGGGAAAACTATAAAACTTGTTCCAAAATTAAAATATCATAAAACTCTTCAAACTAAATCATTTATAAGTATTCATTCCGCCGCAAAACGCCCACCCAACCCCCCCCCCCCCCCCCACCCCCCCACAAAACCAAAGTCCAAAGTCAAGTAAGAGATTGTACAGAGTGTACCATAGTTGTGTTTTATTTTTCCATTGCAAAGTTTATATTTCTTTATCATGTATTTATTTCATGTTTTGGATTTGTAAAAGCTATGGAAAAATCTGATATCATACTTGTTGTTTGTAAAATCACAATTTTATTTGTTTATTTGTAAATGATATTATATTGGTTTGTGAGAAACAAAAAGGAATGCCTATAAATGATATAGTTAGAAAAGTTTTATGATGTTTTAATTCAGGAGCATGTTTCATAGTTTTCCTACATGTCACGTCTCGGTCGCCCAAGTCTCATGGATGCAGAGCTTATGAGATAGGGAGGGTCGAGATGGATCATGTCAACATGTGTAGGTAATCATCAATTGCTTAATTAACTGTATTTCAGACAAAGCAAGATCAGCTAGGTAAACTAAATGTAAAAATGCTGACAAAACTATATCACTTTCTTGTGCTTCAAGTTTCTATATATTCTCATGCCAATGAGATCCTAGGAACAAACCAAGTAATTGCCTCCACTTCCCTTCTCAAGGCTTCACGCTTCCAAGTAGTAACCGCTACTGGGTTTGATTTCTTCCCAGCAATCTCGATTTCCTGTTTCATACTTAGAAGTGTTACATGCCACATCTCTATCAATGAGTATTTAGCTAGTCTAGTTTAAAAACTTTGGATATCTCATCAAAGTAAAAATATTTCGGGTGAAAGATACTTACATTAAGTTGAAAGCAGATAATATCTACTCGGTTAGGCCTCAGCTGCTAGAGTTGGCATCAGAATAGGCTGAGAGCATGCTAAGATGAGGAGCACATGAAATGCTTTCGGACAAGCTTCTTGTTATTGTGGATTAGTAAGTCTGAAGTTGAAACCGCTAACGTGCTATAACTAAAGCAACATAACCATATTTACATAAGAGTAAAGGCCTGGTATCAATAACATCATTTTTCATAATGAAGGGGAAAAAAAAAAAACTATAGAAAGATAGATATTAAGGAAAGTTACCAAGCAATGAGCACATCTTTTTGTTTCCTTATAGGCCCATGCTTGAAGGCTTCAAAGTAATCGTTTTGCTCTGTGGCACAAATCTCAAAATTCCATCCATTACTAAGCATGCCCGGTAAGTCAGTCTAGCATTGTGACCAAATAATCAAAAACAGTCGCATAATTATGCCCAAATATTTGGTCTTTGGCATAAATTTTGGTAAGAGTAGTATTATTTACTCTTTCCTGAAGATAATATATGATCCTCTACAGATGAAATTTGATACCTGAGAACAAAATATCATATTATGAACTAAACTCGTGGTGGGCGAAAGAAAGGAGGGACAGGAACTGCAGTCGGCCAAGCCCGGTAATAATTCTTCTATAAATTCATGACTTGCTGAACTTGTCTCTGTGCATCAATTTGAAATGCTTTAATCAAGTTTTCTTAATAAGAACAAGTCCTGTTAACATCCTAATAGCCAAAATATAACCAAAACAAACCTCTATGAGAAATAAAAGCACTTTCCAAATTGCAATCTGGGGCCAGTGGAGAAGTTCACTAACAGAAACTGCATAAACAACACACAGTAAGAGACAGCAATGAAATATTTGATTCATTAGAGACATATGTCCTGTCTCTCGTAAGAAACAACAAAATTCCAGAAATGAGTAAAACATTCTGATCAAGTATAGTAACTCAAAAGAGTATAAGGATCAGCTAAAGCGCATACACTTTCAACTTATACATACTTCGACTAATCCTCAGGAGAGACTAGCGCAACAACCCACCACCACGGTCCCCTACTTAAATCATGAATGCTTAAATGGGGAATCGGACCTGAGACCGTACGCCTATCCACACTATCTCCAATTCGCCCGAATCATCTAGGCTACCCACAAATGGGTAGCTAAAGCACATAAACGTCTAGTACTATTTTACCTATTTTTTATTTACCGAAGAAAAAGAAAACAAACCAGAGCTCTGATGAGTAACTAATGTTGTTGAAAGACATTAACCCCAGTGCAGCAAGAAATTACTGTGCCTCTGAGATCAATAAAATGAAATTGTGATAACTAGCAAACACAGAGAAATATGGACAGAAGATTATATAAAATGCTTAAGGGCAATCACCTTTGCTTATTGATGATGATGGCCTATTATAGTTCAAGAAGTCTCTGCTTTAACTGGGCTGTAAAGATCAGATTCAAAAGAAGTTGACATTTATAGCACAATTTTCTACTGATGCCTGCAAAATGGAGAAACAAAATTGTTTAGTAGGTGGACATACATATAGCAAAAATATATTAAACATTTTACCGGATTAATTCTTGGAATCATACTTATGCATTTACCTGTAAGTCTGTCACAACGTCAGTTGCTATTTGAAAATCCCATGGCCGTTTCTTTGCTCATATGCGAAATCAATCATGATATTGGGGATGTGAGAGATCTTGTGCCAGTCCTCTCCAGTCCTCAGGCTGTAACATTGTTTTAGAATAGAACAGTAATTGATATTCAATTCCTCCAAAGTTGTCTTCTGCAGAATGCGCTCTGGTATTTTCCTTAATTTCGGACAATGTACAAATGATAGCGAGCGAAGACATGGCATGATTATCGAGTCTTCCCATACAGCTATAAGCATTCGATCCCATTCTTCCCATTCTTCCATGTCAACAAACTTGAGCGAAACCAGTTTCGGAAAGACAATATCAAATGTGTTGCCAATTACGATTCCCAGAAATTCATTTCCAACTCGTTTCACACTCTGCATATTCCATATAGAGAGTGATTCAAGGGATGGCAGTCTTCCCAAAGCAGGTAAATGCTCAGACTTTATGCAATCATGGAGATTCAACATCCTCAATCTGGTTAATGGCAGGATCCAATCAAGAGAAATGTCACGGCCTCTGTATCCTCGAATCTCCAACCCCTCTATATCAAAAGGTGGTTGCAAGGCTACAAGAATGTTTTTGTCACTATCGATCCTCTTCTCTTCTTCTTCCTGATTCACCTTCTTTTTTTCCTCCTTTTCAAAATTTAGATGCAAAGAGAGGAGGTTTTTCTTTGTCTTCAGTTTTGCTTTCTTGGCTTCATTCACATCTTTCACATTTCCCAACCTTTTTAAACTGAGAGACCCTCTGAGGTGGTTCAAGTTTTCCAGACACTCTAGGGTGCATGCTTCGCCGCTGCCACCGCCACCACCCAAAAAGAACTCACTTAAGGTCTGAAGGCAAGTTAATTTCTCGATTCCTTTTGGCATGTACTCTAGTGAAGTTCCATTGTTTACTAGATGCCTCAAGTTGATTAACTTTCCAATCCCCTGAGGTAACTTCTTGAGTTCGGTACACCAACTCAGCTCTAAAGTTTGCAAAGCATATAACTCACACAATGTCTCAGGCAATTCTTCAAAATTTAAAAGGGACAAATTAAGATATCTCAAATGTGATAATTTTCCTATCTCTCTTGGAATCTCTTTAACTGAATTCGCATACTGCCGCTTTGCACTGAGATCTAATGCCCTTAAAGGTATCTGTTGATCAAATAACTTTAATGGGTCATTACGAAGCAATGAGAGGTCTGTAACTCTACCCAGAATTATGAGGCTTCGCAACTTTTTGACATCACATAAGGATTTAGGAAGTGGAGCTCCTTCCCTCACCATTAACATTAAATGGTGAACTTCTTGGTGAGCAGTGTTTGAGGATGGATCTTTAAGACCACTGACTTCGGTGGCTAAACACTCAAATTTACTGATAAACTGAGCGAATTCATGCACTATATCATGCATTTTATGACATAAAATAGTGCCATCATGATCTTTTTTAAACACATCGAAGAAAGATAGTCTTACTAAGTAGTCAAAATACTTTTGACCATTTATCTCCATTTCTTCGTCTTTTCTTAAACCAAGATAACCTTGAGCCATCCACAATTTAATCAATTGATCTTTGCTCATATTGTACTCTTTCGGAAAGATAGCACAGTATGAGAAACATAGTTTTAACATTGTGGGCAAATCACTATAACTCAAAAACAGAAATAGAAAATGATCTTTCGCCTCAAACTCTTTTAGTTCCCATACATAACTTCCTAAGATTCTCTGCCATTGCTCTTTGGTATTTTTAAAGCGTAAGAGACTCCCAATAATCTTTACAGCAAAAGGCAAGCCCTTACACTTATCTGCAATTTTCTCACCTATGTCTTCTACCCAATCCTCAGGAGACCTATCAAAAAATGCTAAATGTTTTAACAACATCAAACATCCCTCTCCACGCAATTTCTCAACGTGGACAACATCTTTTGATTCGACCATAGGAGCTATTGTCTCCTTTCGAGTGGTAATTAAAATCTTAGTACCAGGTAAACCATTCTTCAGACAACGATAAAATGGCTCCCATTTTTTATAGTCTTCTACGGACATACCATCTAAAACAAGAAGACATTTCTTTCCCACAACAGATAGACTAATCCATTGCAAAAGAGACCCAATTTCAACAACATTAAAGACTACCCATTTCAGAGCATTAATGATAGACTTAGCTATCTTAAGCTCATCAAAAGGGTCAGAAACACGCACCCATATTCTTTTATCAAAATAACTTATCACCATATTATCATTGTAGGCAAATTGAGCCAGAGTTGTTTTTCCGACTCCTTTCGGCCCTACAACTGATATGATATGGGGATGTTTTCTTTTAACATCACTCTCACACAACTTACCCACTAATCTCTTCTTCTCATTTTCTCGAAAACATATCTCAGACACATCATCAAAGGAGCTACTAACACTCTCTATTTTCTCATCACTCCTCCCAATGTCTTTAAGGCTAAATTTTTTTTTATCTTTGTTAATATCATCTATTATTTCACTTAGTTCTTTAATCTTCCGAGCAAAGTCACCATGTATACTGACACCATTGAAACAAATGCAAGAGGAGGGCAACATAAAACATACCTTCTCTTTCCTACGAATAAAAGCATTCAGATCAGCGCCCGGGACTTGCATTTTCGAGACAGCAATGTTCCACTCATCCAAAGCATCTTCCAAGTCATAGCACGTAATTTTGAGCTTGTTCAACCATGATCTCAGAGGTTTCTCCTTCCCTTGTTTTTGCTCTGCATCAGCCAGCACATCTCGAATTTCTTGCAGATTGTCACGAAGTTTTTTCAGTTCGTTTTTGGCACCCTCAGGAAGTCTTCCTTCTAGGTCATTCTCTGGCGTAATGGTTGTCTCCAACTGCCCCAAGACGCTGGAAACAATTTCACACCCAACCAGTCCCACCTCCTGTTGCTGATGATGTGTTACAGCCATTGTCGAGTGCCCTCCTGAAGCCATCTGTTGTATCTTGGAACCAGTACTCAGAAATCAGAGATTGTACTTGAATGAAAAAGAGATGAGAAATTGATTTATTTTTGTGTTCTGAAATGCTGCCACCCTGGTTTTATACTCTATGCATGAATAATATTAACGGAAGTGATTTTTAAGCCCATCGAATTCATCAATGTCCCACTTTTAAATATTTTTTTCTTTGACAATTTTAACATTAACGATAATTAGTGGAAATATTTAATAATTTTTAAATATACTTTTATTTTATTCGAAATTGGAGAAAAGGGGCATAAACAAAAAAAAACATATATAATTAAGTTTGAAATTAAGGTAAAGAGATATAAACCAAAAACCTAATTAAACGAGGTTTAAAGGGAATTTTTTTTTTTTTTTTTTTTTTTAAATATAATAGATGTGTGTTTAGTAATAGGGGATACTGATGAACTTGATAGGGGGTAAAAGTTATGAGTGATGCTATGGGTACTAATGGATGAGTACTAATATGTGTACTAACTAAAGCATAGTATCCGTACTATGCGCATAGTACGGGTACTATGCTTTAGTTAGTACACATATTAGTACTCATCCATTAGTACCCAAAGTATTATTCAAAAGTTATTTCCCTAATATTAATGTTTGTAAACTCATACAGGTCTAGACCCGGTTCAAATTTCTATTTGGTTGACCTAGAGTTTGCATCGATGCCATAAGAATAAATCATTTATTTTAAGCTATCTCGTTAATTATAAATTTTAATTACTTCTCTAATTATACCATAATATATTAATTTGCAAAAAATAATTTGTATTAATAACATTATTCTATAACAAGAAATGGAAACCTTTAAGCTTTGCTTTGGCATTGGTTTAACAATATAGCTTTCTTCAAGCTATTCCAAAGATTAAGTATACATAATAGTGTACAAAATATTATTTTCTTACTCGATGAATGTTCTACATGGCAGCAAGAATTAAAGATCCCAAGCTTGATCTTAAGGAGCAAGCATATACACTTTGCAAGTTAGTTAAGTAAAGAATAAAGATAAAAAATAAACAGCTGGGTCAGAGTCAGATTATTCTCAACTATAAGAATAATATTGCTTTAGAAACAGCCTTGAAGAAGAAAACATGCCAAACTCGAAAGGGGCTTGAAGGTTAAGGTCCAAGCTGCTTCACACTTGGACTTCATCACATGCAATTATGCAAATCATAAATCGAAAACATGCAAGGGATCTGATACAAAGAGTGGAAGACAAGAAAATTAGGGGAATAAACAAAAGAAAAAGAATAAAAAACTTCAAAAGATGTTAAGGGAAAAAATGGGTTGATTGCTCTTGGGAGAAGAAAACATTTATGCAGAGAATAATTATCTAATCCTTACTGCTTTATATAGTATTAGTTTCCTTTAATTTGTACCATCTTACTTTCATATAAACTTTAGTTTATTTTCAACAAGAATTAGATGTTTTAAGTTGATGATATTCCTATATCTATTCATGTGTTATTTACAACATAAATCACTAAAGAGGATCTTCTCTATCTTTTCCCTTTTCTCTTTTCTGAAATTTCATCATATATCTTGTAATTCTTGGAAGTTTGTAACTGAAGATACTCTTATTTGAACACCTTTTAGCCCCTTTAGTAAATCGATTAAGAGTTTAATATTTTGCTTTGTTATACAACTTTGAAATTTCATCGTACATTTGGTTTATCTCTGCAGTTCCTAACCTAACAACTATCCGTTCTCATTCTGATTTCATTAATAATTTATTCCAAGATGCTATATATCATTCTAGCTGTCAATGGAATTTCTCTTTACAATATAAGGAACCATCCCCCTTTTCCCTTTCACAGTTTAATAATATTTAAAATGTGCTGAACAAGGTGAGAGAAAAAGGGAAAACCTGGGGGGATTCCATGTAATTTACTCTTGATTTCTAATGTCCACTTCTCTTTTCTTCTCTCTGTTTCTAGTCAGAAGGTCAACACAAAGTGCAGAAAATTTAGAAAGCATACGTATAATAATTCAATGACAGCAGCTAGAACATAAATATTCAATCCAACAACTATTAATTACATTAATTATAAAGTTAGATATAGTATAAATATATTAATTTATAGTATTACTGACGTGATACTCCCTAATATTTTACAAATTTTTAGGGAATATTTGTAGATGAAGATTGAGAAAAAAGAAAAAAGAAAAAAAAAAGTGTTGAGTCCCGAGATATTCAGGTTTGGGTTGGACGTTCAATAGGGAAGACAGAAGAAATAAAGTATAAGGTTCAAATGGTTACATTACACATTACAAGATTAAAACATTCATCAAATTACAAGATTTATCAAAGTCATGAAGGAGATATTTTATATTTCAAGTATTTTGATCGTATTTCAGATCCATATATAAATGTTTGAGTAAGCCTAAGGAGATTGGATGTTTAAAATAGAGTTTGTTTACCAAATCAAGCGACTTATCATTCACCAAACCAAGCCATCTTCATATATATATAGGCTACCAAACATTAAACATTGAAAGAAGCTAAAGCCCATTATCTAGACCAGCCCAATTGGCAAAAATGGGAAAAGCCATATTTTGATTAAATTTCTATCCTTTTTTTTTTTTTTTTTTTTTCCTAACCCAATATCCCATTTTATTTCTTATACTTCTTATGTTAGATTTTAAGTTAACTCTATTAAATCTATATTTTATACTGGTTTAGGGTGTTAAATATCAAGCAAGTTAGTAACTTCATTTGCATTGAATTATGTAGCTTTGAAGAAATTTTAGTCCATGTTTTCTAAATACAGGGTTAAATCTCCTCGTACACCATTTAACCCCCCTTGCCTTTTCTTATTCATCTTTTATAAGCACAGAGAATTAGATTTAATTCTAGAAGTCTCAATCATAGCACCACTACTAAAGCATAAAAGAGGTAGAATTTAAACCCCTAAAGTTAAAAAGAAAATGCCAAAGCAATTTGTTGCTCTGTTTTTTTCCATTCTAATTACTTAGGCCTTATGGCTTAGAGGCATGTAATTCTTAATTTCAAGAATTTTATTTACTCTCATTTTATAGATAAAAAAAAGGGGACAAAAACGTGTAATTTAAAGGCAGTACTGTTAAAGTAATCTATTGCTCTATAGCTCTTCTGGGGAATTGCTTGGTTGGTTGTATAATGCTTGATTCGTAAGTTGAAGAGATCATCTCAACCAACAGAAAAAACTGCAAAAGAGCAAATAAGGATATAGGGAGACAACCAAGAAGGGAAATTGGAATGATGGTCCATTTCCATGGATGGCAAAAAACTATGTAAAGGGTTGCACCAAAAGCTACCATCATGAATGGAATAGAAAAGAACAAGGTGACTAGCCCAATGATTAACTCTTCGGCAAGGACTCCAAAAAACTTTCTTCTACATAATGCGAAGTGAGGATTGCCAAGAGCATCAATAGTAAAGCAGTGGAAGTAAAGAGTGCAAACGAATTTGATATGACAAACACAATGAAAGATGGTTTGCGCAAGAAAATGGGTGTCCCTTTAGCAGAGTCGTTGCCACTTGGTACAGTGAAAGCTGCGACAAAGTCTACTATGATTATGAGTGCAGCTACAATTGTGCAGGATGAAGCAGTCTCCTTCATCCATTTCTCACCTTCTCTGACTAAATTCTTGTGTAATTCGGTAAACACTTGTCTAGGAGTTTTATTGGATTTTTTTTCACTATTCTTGAAGGGATGGATGAACAAAACTTCCCACAGCCTGAACATATATACATAAAACCTTAGCTTAATAGATAAGAAAATGTTTGACAATATTAAGGACTACATGTTATATATAAAATTTTCTCACTTTTCATGAGTTTCGAGCCTTAGATTGAAGAAGTATTTAAGATAATAAAAATAACTCTTTCATTGCTTGGTTGGATGTTCACCTTAAACCATTATAGCTCTCTCAGCATCTGCAATGTCGCACCCAGAATATGATCTGAAGGGACAAACCTTCCAGCGGAATGCAAAATGTTGTCTTTTTTTACTCTCATGTCAGCCACTTGCTTCATGTCCCAGTCCCATGAAAGTAAAATATTTTTTTTCTATTTACAAGACTAAATAATTTTTCGTGGCGATTTAGAATTGCAAGTCGAACTATGTCATCACCATTTTTAACGAAAGCAAACGAGAAGCAATAGGTCTTCATAATTTCATTGACAAGCTCGTAAATCCCTAATGCTGCGGCTGTAAGAACTGGTGTACATAATGAGTTGCTTCTTCATGGCTCCAAATAACTATGTCATGATACATGATTCTGACAATTTCATGTGCTTGCTTATTCGTTAATTTTGTATCATGTATGCTCCTGGTGATTGGCACTTAACAAGCTAGAAACTTTCTCTCAAACTGCTCCTTTAATAAGAGAATATATAATTTAATGCTTAATTACCTAAGTGCATGAGGGCTTTCCAGAGCATAATATATATTTTTTTGGCGCGAAGCACCTGCTATAATTATAAAAAATAAATGGCAGCATTCAGTATCATAATTATAAGAATGAAGAGATATTTAGATGGGACGTTTACAAACCAAAGCTTCTGCCAGTAGAAAACATTTGTTGAAAAAACCCCAAATGTGTGAATTCTGTCAACTTTGTCTTTGATCTCTCAGAGGTAATTTTTATGTCTCTGTCCACACTTTCAGGGCCAGGAATATGTTCTTCTTGCACAGGAATCCCTGCCAAATTATAGTGGTTATGAGACATACATTTGAGAGAAACATTCTATAAGGAATTTGTATATGTAATATTATTTGAATAACAAAGTTCTGCGTATGTTGTGACTCGGCAGAGAAAGTAAAAAAAATTAAAAGATTGTTGACACCAACATTCATGTCGATCAAGATGATATTATGCTGGAAACTCATGAAGGTGGTCACAGTTTTGGAATCTGGAGCTGCAAACTTTGGCGGCAAAATTTGAAGTTCTGCTGCTGTTTTGGTTCTACTATAACACAATGGAAC